AAAATCATGATCCATATATTGGGATCGTAATGGTCCTCGAACCTCCCTCCAGTCTCACCTCGAGCTGGGTAAGCCCCTCATCAATCATTCTCAAGTCATTTAAGTCAATATCGAAGCCCGACTCATCACCATCCTCGGCAACAGTCTTCCCCCTATCACCAGTAGGCGAAGAGACGTCCATGGCCACTTGAGAAGTTAAAGCCTCATCTTGTCGCGGGAGTGTGTGGCCGTCATCAACAGACACCTCCTCGATCTCTCCCCCTCGAAATGTAAGGGCACGCCTACACCAACTTCTACCGGTCTCGGGGCCTCGAGGCTCGGCTCAATATCATCATTACTATCGCCATCTCACGGAACATACAACTTTCTTCCGCGACATCAACGGTCAAAGAAACTCTGCCACCCATATCCTCGGACCTCCTTTTTCGAGGATGAAGATCCCGTCACTGGGAAAATGTTTGTTGTCCTATCAACAAGTGAAAATAAGGGAGGAGCGGAGGTCACAACGGCCAGAATGGGGGCAGAGGTAGAAGCAGCGACAGCTGGAATTGGGACGATAGCAGAATTGGTAATAGCTAGGACAAGGGGCGCAGATTGAAGTCATATTGGCCCTCCTCTTCCGGAACGAGGGCACGGGAGCCCTCAACCTTCTCGCGGCCCCTCTGACTAAACCTAGAGAAACATTAAGAAGAAAGGGATCAGTATAAAGGACGGACACATACCGCATAAAAACAACGTCAGCGATAGGGAAGTGATTACCTGTCGAGGGGAGAGTATGTCTGAATTTCTGGAAAAATACTCGACCAGTCACGTATCCCCGTTGTATAGGGAAGGATCTGTCTGACCTAAACGGTAATATGTGCCACCAACTAGAGAGGTCGTATAGTAGCTACAAAAAAAAGAGTTGATTGACCAACCCACGGCATGAAAAATGTTTTAAAACACAAACAACACGAGCACTTACGGGTAGGGTTTTAGGCCTCAGGGAAGCCGGCGGCAATGGACACTACGGCCTCTGTCCTGACCAAGAAATAATCAAGCCAGAAGTGCCGANAATTGCTTTAGCTTCTGAACTGTCCAACCCTCTTTGTACTTGTTGTTCATGATCTTCAATATTTGTAACCTCAGAGGTAACATGATTAACTTACTTTATATACTTTTAAATATTATCTTATTTTTGGTCCTACATTAGTTTGCTTACGACGCATTTTTACGTACGAAAATATAGGGTGTAACACGATTACCCTTGTCATCCATCCTCACCACCAAGCATTTCCTCCCATGGTGGAGAATATGCAGCAACGTCCCTCGATAGAAATGGGGGCGAAAAGGTGCACCAAGTGGCATACCGTGATCTCGATCTCAGCCAATTCGGTGAACTTCACCTACATTCTGACCACCTTGAAGACGTAGGGCGGGAGCTGCACAGGGCACACTATATAATGGCGGCACAATTCTTCTATTGATGGTGGGAAAGGGAACGAATATTCGATTGTGAACGGATAAATGTAAAGGGTGCAGAATCTGGGATGATGGAACCGCACACCATCATCACCCACAGAGAACAACTCCACGTGATCAGGAAGGCTGAACTTATCCGTAAATTCAGCTAAACACTCGACCATCATTATAGATCGAAACCTCTCAGTCACCACTTCCGGTGCTTTGTGGAAATCGGGTTTGGGATCGGGGTACTGAGGTACAATCTCCTCCACAATAAGGAGGGTTTCCTCCTCAGCAGCGACTGCTACATCTTCCCCGTGATCAGGGAATACAACTCCAAAGGGGTAGAGTGATCTTCCATATGGGCATCAGGTGAGAGGTTCGACATTGTTATAAATGAAGATGAAGAAGTACAGAAAGCAACAGAAAAGCGGTAAAATATTACGAAGGAGGAGAAGAATTTTTTCTTGAGAAGTAGAGATAGTATAAAAAACTTCAAACTCAACAAGTCCTCTGCTATTTATAAGGTTTGGGGCACCATAATCGAGACAGCTGGTCATGATTAGCACAAAGATCGAAACAGCAAAACCAATCAAGGGTCACGCAAGAATCGACGCAATACGTCGGGAATGAGCGTCATCATGACGCATGACGTCATGACGTTATTCCATCTCTTAGACCAAATGGTTCCAGTAAATCACCCGGGAAAATCAAAGGTTTAAAATATGCGGCCCATAGAAAGCCATGTCACCAATGACCTACAATGACTATGACCCATATTAAGCTCCACCAGGAACGACATTATCCGCTCATTAAGCTCGCCCGTGAGGACGACCTCAACGAGCGGAGGGACTAACTGTATGGGCCAAAAATTAATTTAGGTATGCTTAGACCATATCAACATTAATAGTGCCTTCAAGAGCTTCCGCGTATCCTCAGTATGACTTCTACAAGAGGAGAATTCAAGGTCGAAGTGATTTAGCGAGAGACGAAGGACTTGGTCGATGAGTCATTACAGGTCAAGGCCGAGGACGAGCACTCCTCTTAAAAAAGAATAATAATGGCTAGTTTTAGATAAGACTTTAGAGGGAATATTCCTATGAATATTCTCTGGATCTGTACTATTAGGGTTTTTAGATATATGTTCCCTTATAAATAGAAAGAGACAAAGTGATGGGGGACATGAGATATTCACTTATAAAAGAACACATTGACTTTCTCTGTAGAACCTTGTTGTATTATACACATACAAAATATACCTTTCTCTTAAGATTCTTGTGTAACCTTTCCACATGATCCAAGAACAATCTGAATATTCAGAGGCTCATCAATCATTCATCATTGTCAGAAAGAATATCCACGGATCTCACTCTTTTCGGGTGACTCACATGTTCTTATTTGCTTAAGTGTCATTCATTGCTATTTATTGTTATTTAATGCTAACCCATTCCTTTTTGGGTCATTTAATATTGCTAGTTAGAGGTGTTCATAAAAACTTGAAAAACCGAACCAAACCGAAAACCGAACCAAACCGACCAAAAAAACCGATATTTTTAGGTTTGGTTTGGTTTTGGTTTTAAATTTTAAAAACCGATCAAATTTGATTTGGTTTTGGTTTTAATAAAAAAAAAA